CAGTAGACTTGATGATACTTCCAGTTCTTTTGCTGACCCTTCTAGCAGAGGACTTAAGAGCCAGTTCCTCTTCTTGCCTAATAGTACCAGCTTGTTTAAGCCACTGCCAGCACTTTTACAGGTAGCCACCCACTTACAAATGGTTATGTTTCAAGAATTCATATGCAATAGAAACTTTGGAATTTGAAATGTATTTCCTCCCTGAAAAGCATTTGCAAATGGTATTATAAATGGGTAAGTTTCTAGGCTACCTTTTAAAGACCTACTGAACCTATAATGTAGCTGAAGTACTACACATTTATGATGAAAAACATTAGGAAAATCACATTTCAGATGTACATTAGTTCTACATGTTATCTAAATAGGATTTGGGAGAATAGTTTGGATCCCTAAACACCTTTGTTTATGATGAGAGGGTAAGTTGTGGTGCCATGAAGACGTTCCCATCAAGGCTATGGAGAGGAAGCCATTGGGAATGTGTCTGGAGGAAGTCCATCTCCATCACCTGCAGGGCAGGGGCCAGCCCTCAGCATGTGAGACAGACTTACGTCAAATGTTTGTATATCAGGAGTACCTATATGCTCTTACCAGTTGCAAAATAATGAGAGAATGAGTGAAAAGTTTATATATTTTGAAATTTCTAAGCAGATATTAATATTGGAAGTGCTTTTTTGATGCATTTACAGATAACATAGTCACATATTTAGTGATCATTTTGTGTGTGTTTTTCTCCCCTTTGTATGTTTGTTTTTTTTTTATCTTTGTGTGTTTGGTTTTATTCCTGTAATTGTTTATTTTTCAATTAAAGGAATTTAATTCACTTAAAGGTATTATAATATTAGTAGTTAAAACAGATTTAACTATAGAATTGTTCTACTTTTAATTCTTTTTTTAATATGCTTTTTTTTAATTGATTTTTTTTAGAGAGGAAGAAGGAAGAGAGAGATAGAAACATCAATGTGAGAGAGAAACATTGATCACCTGCCTCCTGCATGCCCCCTATTGAGGATCAAGCCTGCAACCCGGGCGTGTGCCCTGACTGGGAATCAAACAAGGACCTGTCAGTCCATGGGACAACACTCAGTCCACTGAGCCACACCAGCTGGGCCTATTTATAATTCTTTATTAGACATAATTTATTTTTATTTCAAGAAGTTTTCATTATGTTGGAACTAATTTCTGACCACTTTTAGCTTATATTCTTATGAGTATAGTATGATTTTTGTCTACGTGATATTCTGCAAGTTACCTACAGAATATAGAAGAGCAAGTGCTTTGGATTTTAGGACGTATGGATCCAATTCTGTTTAATTCTGGTTACGTTTTTCAGCTCTCACAGCTTGTTTCCTTATCTATAAAAGGAGGCTGATGAAACCTGCTTCCTCACAGGATTGCAAGGTATTATTACATAAGATTGATTGGCAATGTATGCCAGCTCTATACTACTACACTACTTCTATACTACTATAGAAGTATACTACTATACTTTTTGTTTCTCTTCCCTGAACTCTTTTTTGTTTTTTGTAACTAAGTTTCTCAAAAGAATAATCTACACTCATCAGCTTCACTTTTAATTTCTCACTTTGTCAAAAAATAGTAGTATTTAGTATTAATATTTGGAATGATAATTGCTTTAGCTTTTTGTTTACTTTGTTTGCTGTTGTGGCTATCAGTAGTTCTTTTCCAAGCACTTCAATAGAACTGTAAAATTCCTCTCACTACAGTAAACACTTCAGGTTATCCATCAAATCCATTTTTAAGACCTTTTCCTTTTTCTTGAGATATTCCTCTGGGAGCCTTTTGTCTTTCTGCTCTAATCTGGACTGGTTGCTCTCTAGGCCTGGTGCAAAGTTTATATCCTGTCTGTTCCTTTCCTCATCACCCTGGGAATTTCCTTTACTTCTTTAATGTTTTGAATCATGTTTCCTGGTTCCTGTGTTTTCTTCTTTCTTGATTTATCCCCTTGTTTTGGTATAGCACTTCCTCTATTCTCCCTCCCAGCCTCCAGCGCCAAATCCTTTTAAGGCAACTCTGTAACACCTGTGAAGCTTTTACTCTTTTCAATTCCCCTGTTGGATTGACTTCATCCTCCGTCGTGGCTCCACAGCACCCTCTATCAGCCTTGTCCATTGTACATATGGAGCACCTGCTCTGCATGTCAGGCACTGTGTTCAGCACTACAGAGTCCCAGGTTAAGACACTGAGGTTCTTGCCCAGCTGGCGTGGCTCAGTGGTTGTGCATCGACCCATGCACCAAGAGGTCACCGGTTCAATTCTGGGTCAGGACACATGCCCAGGTTGTGGGCCCGATCCCCAGTGGGGGGCATGCAGGAGGCAGCCAATCGATGTTTCTCTCTCTCTCTCTCTCTCTCTCTCTAAAATCAATAAAGAAAAATTAAAAAAAAAAAAAAGACAGTGAGGTTCTTGTTCCCAAGGAAGTTCTGAAAGAAGTAACACCTTGATTCTCACTGGAGGCAATACTGCCCCCTAGTGGCCCTTTTGAAAAAAGTGGGCGTTGAAGTTCTTTGTTAACCACAGTAATGGGAGGGTACAGCTGGCATTTTGTAGTCAGGAGACAGGAATATAAAATGTCTTATATGTCCAGTACAACTTTATAATATTTCACCAGACATTCATATGTGAAAATATGTTTATAATTTTCTAAGCCTGGAGCCTAACTCCTTTTTACACACAAACCCAGACTACTCTTGGCACTTTTTACATTGTCATTGATTGTGCAACAGATGGAGAACAGCTGTTTATCAGTGTGGGTTTTTAGACAATTATTTTTTAATTTTTTTTTTTATCCTCACCTGAGGACATTTTTAAATTTTTTGTTCAGATAGAGTGGAAGGAAGAGAGAGAGAGAGAAACATCGACGTGAAAGGGACACATCGAGTGGCTGCCACCCACACAACCCAACCAGGGCCGGGCCGGGGACAAACTGCAACCGAGGTACATGCCCTTAGCGGGAACCGAACCCAAATCTCTCTGGACCGCAGGCCGACGCTCTAACCACTGACCCAAACTGGTCAGGGTTATAGACAGTTTTTAAAAAGCACATCTTGGGTGATAGATTGTTTTGTAAATCATGCAATGACAGTGAAGAAGTATATGATTGCCTTGCCTTATACATGAAAATAAGAACTTTCTAGAGTAAATATTAAAAAATACTGTGTTCATTATTGTGTGTATATTTGGGTGTAACATACAGTGCACAGTTTGATGACTTTATACTCACACATGCACATAAACACACGTCACTGCCACCATGCTCTAGATATGCTGAGTGTCTGCATAGTTGGGAAACATAAGATAAACTTATTTTTAAACAGTATGTTAGCTATGTTTTTAAATCATGCCCATTGCATTTTCATGTGTACAATCAATACAGTTCTCAGAATATAGGGGGACTATGGGCTTGGACAGGAAAAAAATTACATAGTTATTTTTACTAACCTCAAACTGAAATTTAGTGTTTCCTTTCAATTTTGAATGCAGGAAATGGTGGTAGCACTAGCAGTACCTGTAACTTTTTTTGCTGTTAGAAGCCACAGATATTTTCAATTTCAGTTGTGCAGATACCTCACAATATTGTTTATACTCATTATTTTCATATTATGGTAATTATTAGACCTGCCACTCAGTGTTGTTATTTAAATCATTAATAAAGTGACACATATATTACCTATGCAATTTTAAAATAATCGTATTTTTAAATTTTATTTTAAAACATTCTGAAATTCTAGAGTAAGCAAAACTAATGTATAATGATAGAAATCACGTGAATGGCTGTTTTTAATAGACAAGATTAACTGGGAAAGGGGAACGAGAATTTTCTGGAGTGATGGAAATGACCATGTGCTGGTATATTTTTGTCAAAGGTGATTGAATGCTAAACTTAAGATACATATTTCACTGAATGTAAATTGCACCTCAATTTTAAAAAGCAAGTACATTAAAAAATATTCTGAGAAGGGGTCCATAGGCTGCACCAAATTTCCAAAGAAATTTCTGGTAACAGAAATGGTTGAGAACCCTTTCTCGAGGGCCTCATGTTACCTTTGCCTTTCTCCTTTGAGTACCTTCTTTCCCTCATTCGCTTATTCTGCTCATTTCCTTTTTTTCTATAAGTGTTCTCAGTTTTTTGAGTTAATGAAAGTCAGAAAAGAGAAATAGCAGCTATGAAAGGAATTCTTTTCTTGCCTTATTTGCCAATCTCTGGAAGCTGATGAAGCTATAGTCCTCCTAACATAGTTATGTACTTGCTTAGACTTTTAAGAAATTTCTAGCAAGAATTACTCTTCTAAAAACTAATTTGTAGACAGTTTCATAATGGAATGATTTTTCACATTTCTACTTTCTCTTGGAGTTTTAGTAGAATTTTTATCCCTCTATTATAGAATATGCAGTTCTGTTATGAAGTAGCCATGAACATTTATAACAAAGAGTAGAAAAAAATACAATGTATATGGAATTAGAAAAGCATCAAGGAAGTAAGGAAAGAAAAATTAATACTGCTGACAATCTATTCCAGAAATTTTGGTTAGGTGTCTTTGATGCAGTGTGATTACAAATTCTAAGTCCAAATATGTTTTACTTTTATAAGATTCAGAATAGTACAAATATCAAATATTAGCCTATGTTTATTTTAAATGTAATGTTAGTGTTAAACATAGTGGTAGGTAATATATAGAACCAACAGTCTTCCTTCTAGGGGGCACACAGTGTTGACTACTCATAATACAACTCTCGTTGTCTGTTATCTTATACATATAACTTTTAATTTTACTCTGCTGTTTTTATGTTTTCATAGTCTTTTTATGAATCTAGATAAATTTAATAGTACACTTGTTTTAATAGATTGCAAACTATTCTAAGAAAGCTTGAGCTAAGGTGAATAGTCTTGACAAATGTTTATCTAGATAGCATTTGTATGTCTTTTATGACTTGTTATTAGATTTAAAAATGTAAAATACTGTTTGATGGTTTCTTTGCAGCCTCTTGTGTGGAAAATTTGAAATGCAGAGGAGAAACACTAGCTAAGGAGATCAGTGAAGCCATGAAGGTAAAAGCTACATGCTAAAAAATTATAAAATGAATAAAGTGTGCAGCTAGGTATTTGCTTTTAACAACCACATGTCTTTTAGTCTATTGTAATGGGAATTTTTAGTAGTTTATATAATAGATCTTTAATGAATGAATTAAGCAATAGTAACATTCAGAATAACTACCATTTGTTAGGTACCTACTGTGTGCCAGTATTTTACCTGGCTTCTTTAAAGGTTGATCATATTTTTGAGTTCTGAGTGCTAGTCCAACAAATAATTTTAGATAATAATACTAGCTAACATTTAGTGAGCATTTAGTATAGATCAGGTACCATCTGACTGTTTTACATATATTATACTACCTCATTTAATCTTTTCAATAATCCTATGAGATAGGTACTACTATATCCTTATTTTACAGATGAAGAAACTGAGGCACAGAGAGGCTAATTAGGTTGCCCAAATAAATAACTCTGCCAGGGTTTAAACCCTGGTTGTTTGGCTCTAGAGCCTAAGTCTTAATATCATTATAATAAAATTGTTTATATTTTTGGCATTTATTTGTTTTTGTTTTTGCTTTTTTTGGATTTATTTTACATAAACAGGAAAACATTTTATTACTAGTATGTGAAAAAATTACTTTTTTTTTTATCTTCACCCAAGGACATTTTTGCATTCATCTTCAGATAGAGCAGGAGGGAGAGAGGGAGGAAGAGAGAGAGAAACATCAATATGAGAGAGACACATCGACTGGTCGCCACCCACACAACCCCAACCGGGGCTGGGGACAAACTGCAACCGAGGTACATGCCCTTAGCTGGAACCGAACCCAGGACTCTCTGGTTCGCAGACTGATGCTCTAACCACTGAGCAAAACTGGCCAGGGCTGTTTAAAATTACGCATAAACTCCTTCATAATCTCCCCTGTTTTTTTTTTTTAATTCTGACCCAAGGACATTTTTGCATTTATCTTCAGATAGAGAGGGAGGAAGTGAGAGAGAGAGAAGCATCGACATGAGAGAGACACATCAACTGGTCGCCACCCACACAACCCCAACCGGGGCTGGGGACAAACTGCAACCAAGTTAAGAGCCCTTAGTGGGAACCGAACCTGGGACTCTCTGGTCCGCGGGCCGACGCTCTAACTGCTGAGCCAAACAGGCCAGGGCTCCCCTATTCTTAAAGTTTCTATACCATTCTTTTGTGGTTTATATTGGTTCCATGATTTTCTGGTGTTCATGTTTCTCTCATAGCATGTTCCTGATCAAGAGTTGACATACTATGGTGGGCCAGGCTAAAATCCAGCCTACCACCTGTTATTGTGAATAAAACTTTATTGGGATACAGCCATGTCCGTTCATTTACTTATTGTCTATTGTCTGTGGCTTCTTTACATTACAATGAAAGAATTGAATACTTGTAACATAGATGTAAGGCCCCCAGAGCTTAAAAGATTTACTGTATGGCCCTTTATAGGAAAAATGTACTGATCCCTGCTCCTGGTTATTAAGATTTCTGAAATACTTATTATCCTAAAATGTGGAATTTCAGCCATTAAATCCTTAGCTCTGAAATTCCATTACTTCTTGTTCTGCCAAAGTTTTATTTTACTATTAGACATTTGTAGGAATAGAACATAACTTTTTAGTCTTAGCTTTTAGTTAAAATTGTCAGCTAAAACTGGTACTGTAAGGTAAAAGTGAATTACCTACAACCCCCAAAAGTAGGTTTTAGAAAAATTAAATTCTAAAATAGAATTCTAGAATTCTAAAATAAAATAGAATTAAAATTCTTGAGTGTTGTGTTTGTCCTCGTGTGTTTGTGTTTCAGCCTGAGACTAATGTTGAGTATTACTGTTTGTTTACTTTTTGAAGTCCTTGCCTGCATTAATTGAACAAGGAGATGGATTTTCCCAAGTTTTAAAGATGCAGCCTATTATCCAGCTCCAGAGAATCCACCAAGAAGTCTTTTCCAGTTGTAGGAAGTCAGATGTCAAACCTGAGAGCTTTATAACACAAATAGAAACCACACCAACAGAGAGTTGTACCAGGAAAACCACTAACGTGGTACTGAAAAGAAAACAAACTAAAGACTGCCCCCAGAGAAAGTGGTATCCACTTCAGCCAAAGAGAATTAATCTTGATACATAAGCTGTTTTTGTTTATCTTGGGAGTTGAAATTAGGCACTGTCAACATTTAGATGAAAGTCTAATGCCTAGATAGGACTTCATATAAAATAACAAGTAACTCTTTTAGTGATTTATTTATACCTATGTAGTAGTTCTGTTCTGGGATATGATGTAATATTATATTTCTTGCACCAACATTTCATGTGTAGTCAGTGAAAAGCATAGTTTTATAATATTGGCACAAAGCCCATCAATGGGTATTAACAGTGTAATCTTTCACTGTCCTTAAATGCCATCATATCTTGGCTTCCTTACAACTTTTATGGAATTTCATGAGTTACATATTCTGTTGGGTTTTCTGGGTATACTGCTTTCTTAAAATAAGAGCTGTGTAACAGGTGTCTTTATTTAAGTGCTGAAAGGAATCACTGGTGCTGCAAGGGAACACATTCAGCGGTGTTTTTGTTTTGTTTTTTGTTTTCAGTGCAATTTGTTTTATCAAATTAATGTGCAGATGACAAGACTGGCTTTGACTTTGTCACTCCAGCTTAACTAATTTAGGGATTGATTTTAGGAGTTTTGTTTTTGTTTTGTATTATAAGACATGACAACTATTATTTGTGCCAGATGTTCTTGTAGAAATAAAAATTGGCATCTAGCCAATATTTCTTGCCCACACTGTTTTTCATAGACCTTTTAACTTTTAAACATAATTTGACTTGGGAATAATTTTTTTAGGATTTCTCATTATTTCTTTGTATATGATTCAGATTCAAAAATATACATCAGGATAATACATTAACAAATTGTCATGTGGAACAAATATAGATGTAATCATATTGAACTGTTTTATATTTAAGGATATGTATATATCAAGGATATAATCATTGGTAGAAGTCTGAGAAAGCTATATTGCCTGCGCTTCCAACATTTAACTACAGTTTCTTACAGCTTTATTGTGTCTCTTAGTCACATGAGTATAATGTAGGCAGGGCCAACTAACTTGCTGTTTTCCCTTTTGATGATTAGGCCTTCATTTATTTGCAAAGGAATTTACTAATCATGAGGTTGAAAAATCTGTACTTCTCATGTTTATTATGTGTTAATTATAAATGTCAAAATGTGACAGAAAGTCTGTCTCAATTAGAAAAACTTACATAGCCACTTTATTGCATTCTGTATTTTAATGTTACAATTTGATATCTGTATATTTGTGCAAAGCAATTTGTTTTTTATTAAAATAATGTGCAATGACTGAAGTCTTGATACTGTATATTTTTAAGAGTTGTCTTAGGCATTCTTGAGCTCAGCTTTAGTTGAATGGTAGGTCAGTACTTTGCATTTCAGAACATACTAAATTTCATTTAAAATTCTTTTGAGGCTACAGAACATTGCTATTCTAAGGCAGTGCTAACTTTTTTATAGTATAAAATTCTATGTGAATTATTTCAATCCAAAATCCTGCAAACAAAAAAATTGTTGATTCTCCTAGATTAGATTATTGCATTATGATCATAAAAGAAAATGTCTCCCTTTTAAAAATAATACATACTGAGATTCATATTGTTTAATGGACTTTATGTATTGGTAGACCTATTGAGCCAAACCGGCCAAGGTGACAACAGAGATCTTATCCTAGACCTCTTTTCCTGGGTCTTTATGGCTTGAGCTGCATAGAGAAAAAAGTTAATAAAATCAAACTTTTTATTTGCTTTAAAATGTAGCTGTCTCTAAGACTGAGTTTATTTGACTTCTATTGTGAAGGCTTCGGTTTTCCCCTTCATTTTATTCATTCATTTAACAAATACATGTTGGCACCTCTTGAGTTCAGAAGTCAGGTTGGAAGCATGGCCTCTGACCCAGATCGTCTGAGTTCAGCTATCTGCTCTGCTATTCTAAAATAGCGTCGGCCAAGTCTCTTCGTGCTGCAGTTTTCCCACACATAACATGGGTGTGATGATGATGCCTACCTCGGGTTATTATGAGAAGTAAGTAAGTTCACAATAAAGTCTTTAGTACTTGTACTTAGTGTTCATAGTGAGCATTCTATTTATTGGTTTGATAAAGGGAAACAGAATAAACATTGTCTTTAAGAAGTTCATATTCTGGTGAGGAGAAGGAGCATGTGGAACCAGGGTCATACAGTGTAGCAAGGACTCTATGGATGTGTGCATGGGGAGCTTTGGAGAGAAGTCATGGAAGTTTGTGGAGGTGACATTTGAGCAGTCTTGAATATTTTAGGCAAATGATCACAGAGGAAGATTACTGTCCATGTGAAAAGAATTTACCAAAGCAGGGGGCTGTGAGAGAGTAGGGTGTACTGGGGGACCACCAGGTGAGGCTGTGTATGGGTCTTGTCTGAAGGGACTTGCTACAGGTGAACCTGAAGTGATAAACAGGTTAACTTCTGAGAATTTGCACTTAGAAGTGCTGATGAGGAGCCAGTAACTTCAACAAAGGAGGGGAAAGGAAGTGGAAATTCATTGAATCCATTTTCATCCTAAGAGAATTGAAGACATGTCTATACAACAAACTTGTACATGAATGCTGGTAGCAGTAACCCAAATGTCTATCAACTGAGGAATGGATAAATAAAGTATGATATATCCAGTCAACGGACTATTATTTGTCAATAAGAAGTACGGTACATGTTACAATGTAGATGAAACTTGAAAACATGTCAAGTGACAGAAGTCACTCACAAAATACAGTAGTTGTTGTCTGACTGTGAAATAGGCGAATCTAGACAAACATCCGTGGTTGCCTAGTGCTGGAAGAGGAGAGAAGGCGGGAGGAATGGGGAGCGACTGCTAATGGGTGTGGGTGTTCTCTAAGGGGATGATGAAGATGCTCCCAAATTGATAGTTGTGGTGGTTTGGTGAGTGAATATGCTAAAACCCACTGGACCATGCACTTTAAATGGGCAAAATGTATGCTATGTGAAGTATATCTCAACTTACAAAGAGTTAAGGAAATAGAAATAATACAAAAAATGTTCCCAGATACCAAGACTCCAGATGGGAAAAACCCACTGAGTACTCAGCAAAAGACAAGAAACAACAGAACAAAATAACCCCTACCAAAGCATGTCACAGAAATGTTTAAGAGAAATTCCTAAAAGCTTCCACAAGGGGAAAAGGATGATGAAGAAAGGGGAATTGGAATGGCATCAAGCTACCAAACAACAATCCTGAATCCAGCAGTCTGTGGAGCAGTGCAGTCTGGAAATTCTCACTATAAGTAATGTGCAACATTGGATTCTATACCCAGCCTAGTTATCAGCCAAGTGTGAGGTTAGTCAAAAGCCATTCTCAGACATGCGAAATCTGAAAAAGAAAAGACATTACCTTTAAAAGCATCTCGTTTGAGGGCACTACGAGGGGGTGTGCTCTACTACAGAAGGTAAACTGAAAATGCAACAGCCGTGGGGTCTAGAAAAGAGTATTCAAGATAGCAGCAAATCCAAGTTCACAGAACACCATTCAGCAGATCTGGAGAAGAGACCAATCAGACCGGGTTGGAAAACAAATGGATAGGTCTCCAAAAAGGATATTTTCAGGACAAGAAAATATAACTGACAGTGTGAGTGATTGTGTTAACTACTCGAAAAATTATATAAGGGAGATATTTTATAGTATTCAGGTGTTCAAAGAAACAAAAATTTTAAATCAGGCATGTATTCATTGCAGTAAAAGTAGAAAGGTGTACAAGAAAAAATGTAATCATAGTTACAGATTGGCTCCACAGTGAACAGCATTAACATAGACGTAATGATGAACACCCCAAATACGAATCCAACAGAAAACTGGGACAGTTACATTGGGACGGTAAGAGAATTGGAAATTAACAATCAATACAGCACAGGCACTGGACAGTCAGAATGGGTAGTGGTCAAAGCACTGGAGCAGGGTTCTGGGAGCCCCTTTTGCTTCTGTGTCCTGGGGAAGTTCAGGGTGTCCCAGGATAGGAACTGGAGCAGGCAAATGGGCCTGGGAGGGGCACTGAGGAAGCTTCTGTCCCAACCAGCACAGTTCATTTTGCTATGTAAAAACAGCCCACACGGTTGTACTGTGTGACCACCTGAATATCAGCTATGAAATGGGCATGTTTAAGAGTGAAATCTTCATCACAATGGAAAGTCAGTGCATAATCTCTGAAATAGTTAAATCAAAAGAGAGAGCACAATTCTGGTTAGAAAAAAAAACAGCTAAGAGTGGAAAGTAGCTAACTTTGTGGATGAACCTAGGTAAGGAAAGTAGGCTAAGGGACTGATTTTGTTTGTTGTTATAAGCCCTGTATATTTGATTCTTTTAATTATGTGCATACCATGCTCGCATAAAAATAAATTTGATTTAAAAAATTTAATTTTTTTTTTTAGAGAGAGGAAGGGAGAGAGAGAGAGAGAGAAACATCGATTGGCTGCCTCCTGCACACCCCCTACTGGGGATCAAGCCCATGCCCAGACTGGAATCAAACCGGGACCTCTCAGTCCTTGAGGACGCTCAGTCCACTGAGCCATGTCGGCCAGGCAAAATAAATTTGATTTTTAAATGATTTTGAAACTGATACAAGTGAATATGAATGGTCTTTGACACTATCTTCATATCAGTGAGAATTAAGAAGTGAATTATATGCCAGAGGCTTTCACAGGGTATCCATTCTATTATCTCAGTATATTTCAGAGAAGATTTGTAGTCCCTGCTTTTAGCTGAGACCTTCAATTTGGGCTTCTTTGGAATTCTCCCCTCCCCCACCCCCATTTGTTTTGCAAATAGATTCAATTATCAAGCCTCTGTGTTCAAAAATGAAGAAAAAAACTCTAGAGAACCACAGAAGGGTTTGTGGGAATTTTACATGAAAGGATTTGGGGAAGTCAGTATTATATTTACTTGAAGCTTCAGGGGTGGCGTTTGCTGTATCTCTATGTTGCTTGTGCCTTGAGGGCCCTTTACTAATATTAGTTGAATGAATGAATAATTTTACATTGTACATGTCTAACATCACTTCCCCTAGATCACAATCTCAGGCATTACTGACGTGTGGCATGCATATTTATTATTAATTCAGCTTAGAAGGTGGGCTTGCCCTGGCCGGGTGTCCAGTGGTTAGAGCGTCGGCCCGTGGACCAGAGAGTCGTAGGTTTGATTCCGGTCAAGGGCACATATCTCGGTTGTGGTGTGTCCCTGGCCCTGGTTGGGGTCCTGTGGAAGGCAACCAGTCGATGTGTCTCTCTCTCATAGATGTTTCTCCCTCCCTCTCTCTCTCTCCCCCTCCCTCCCACTCTGTCTGAAGATAAATGGAAAAATACCCTCGGGTGAGGATTAAAAAGAAGAAGAAGATGGGCTTACTCTTGCAGGGGGTGGGGTGGGGGTGCAGGTGGGATTTAAAAGACCGAGGGCAAATCACTAGGAAACCTCCTGAATTAGAATTCTCCTTTTCTGCCTGCTAGAGCTGAAGTCTAGTCCCCAGATCCCTGCCTGGTTGGAGAAGTGGATGGCATTCACAGCCCTCAGCCTGACTCTATGATGCTAGAGGTATATCTGCCCTCTGGCCCTTTTTCCTTTGGCTGCATTCCCTTGATTTCTGGGGAACCAGAGAAGACCTGGCCCCTCAGGGTCCCCTGCTGCAGCTCATTTCTGTGCCTGTGAAGGGTCAGGCCATCTCTCGTCACCTCAATTAGCCGCATTCAGAGAACGGCTCCCATGCCTCTGGG